ACCCTTTTGGTCTCTGCTCATTATTATTTTTGCTCCTAAAATATCACTGCTATTTTGATCAATAAAAAAATATATCACAACTATGATAATATGTCAAATTAACCATGTTTTAGTTGAATTTATGAACTGTTACAATTGACCCCGTAAGTGGGGACAATTGTAACAAGTACACGACTGTCAAAAATTGTTAATAACTAATATAATAACATTAAAATAAGGTATTTATATTTTTTTTCCAGTAGAGGATAGTCTACTTTGCTCGTCTGTCAATTAATACTAATAATATATTGGTTTTTTTGTTAGTTAAAAATAGTTAAGTAAAAAATGTTACAATTGACCCCACTCTCCCCTAGATTGAATTCTGTTTATTGGATTCTATTTACTTACTTTACATGACAAGAATCGTTCGTTACAGTTTGTAAAATGCTATTCAAAGTTGAAATGATTTATTCCCATTTTTTCTGTACTTATATTGGATGGCCAACTCTTCTCGACATTAAAAAATGATAAATGCTTTTAAGTTTTTTTCGAAATTTTTTTTAATGTTATGCTTACAGTGTTTCTTTATTTTTATCTCAAAATATATTTAAAAATTTAAAATATGTTGAATTCCATTCCAACTGAAACCAGTAGTAGAATTCCAAGCGTAACAGAGGGGAAATCACACAGGTATTTTATCATAAAAAATGTATTAAATATATACGAAAACAAAAAATTGCGCAACAATATGCTACTTTAAGGTGCAATGTTTAATTAAATGGCATGATATTTCCCTGTAACTATTTGTCAAATTTGCAAAATGTCCCCTCTGTTACATTGCATTTTTTGAAGTTAATAAAAATGTGTAAGCAATTTAAAAGGTCTTATAATAATTTATTTTACCTTGAAATGTGATAATTAAAAAAAATTACAAATGATTAGGATGTTCCAAATCACAGAACATAGCGAAAATAACAGCGCATGTCAAAAATGTGGCATTTTCCTTGTCCCCTCTGTTACGGATGCTTTTAACTACCTGGCAATTAAATTAGGAGGCTCTTTTATTATTTTATGCCATTAAATTACATTGCATACTTTTTTTAGGAAAAAATACCTGTGTGATTTCCCCTCTGTTATGCTTGGAATTCTATATATATGAAGGCATTTTTATGTATCTCTATTCTTAGAATTTTTATTTCAATTTGAAAAAAAACTGCGGCCATTTATCCTAGGTTCACATATAATTTTCAAAGGACTTAAGGAATATTTTCATTTTTTTACTACATTGGATAAACAACTTTTCTCGACAATAAGGAGCCTCTTGCAAGTTTATTTTCAAAGAATTATTCTCATACTATGTTTACAATATTTCACTATTTTTTCCTCAAAAAAGGTTAAATAAATGCATAAGAATTTGAAATATAAAACATTTCTTGAAACTCTTTCTTAGTATTTACTCTATTACTAACTCAGATGCACTACGAATCCAAATATATGAAACTTTTGTTTTTGTTAATATCCCTTTCTGATCTATAATTTTAAGAAACTGTAGATTTATTTGTCTTTGAAACTAAACTTTTCTCTAAACCAAGGTATTCATTTATTTTTAGTAAAAACTTTTAGAGTTTTAGAAAACATACGTAAAAGTTCTTAGCGTTTTTATACCAGAAACAATTCTTCCAGATAACAAAAAACAATGCTTTGAATCTATAGAATTTAAAAAAATTTACTTTTCCAACTGTAAAAGACATACAAATCTTGTTTACTTCATTTTTTTCCCTTTCTAAGGAAAGTTTGAAAAATTTCGTTATAATAATCCTTAGACTTCAATGAAAAGCATTATTTGTGAAGTAATATTTGGAGAAAAATTCTAATAACAGTAATTACTAATAAGAAAACTTCACTGGAAATTAAAAGTGAGTGTTCTTCATTTATCTAAACATGTTTAACTGGCATTATTGTTTATTTTTGAGGAAACTTGTGCACGAAAAAGTATTTACTTAATGTTATTTTTAATATTAGTGCGCTTTGTTGTTTTAAATGCTTGATAAAACGATAGTATAAGAGAAGAAATTTGAGGAGCACTTTAAGAACTATTTCTTTTATTTATCATCATTATCATAGTTGGCTCGACAGTTCAATGCCTTCCTCGTTCTTTTATAATGCAGATTTTGATGCTTTAGACATCACGGATGGAAATTAAATTTATTCAATGAAAAAGAAACATTTACTTCCACAAGAGCATTATGGAACTCGAAAATGGCTAAAATGTTATTATTTCTATACTTAATCGCTTTTTAGCTAGTATTTTTGAAAATACACATTTATTTTTAACAATACTTGAATGGAAAACAATATTATTTATAAAATTATTATTTTAATTTCAAAAAGAATGTTAAAGAATATTTAGTAATTATGACTAGTATTTTGAATTGTGACATGTAGAATGAGATAAAAAATCTTTTACAACATGAAGAACTTAAAATTGCTATACACTTTTTGCACTTTTACGCGGAGAAAAAAAACCTGGTAAAATTGCAGCTCAGTGTGCTAATGACATTTATGATGTATGGAAAAACTATAATTCTGGTAATAAAATCAAAATATATTGTATTTAAACCATTCATTTGGTACTATTTTCGATCATGCGGTAATGGTTTACCCGAAATTCTGGTTTTCAAATTCATAGTTATTATATTACCACACATTTAGCAAAAAAGCAAAACTGAAAAGTAAATTCAACCGAATAGTGAGTTTTATGCCATGCTCTGAGGTATCATGATACAATTACCAAATTTTATCACATATTATGAAACCATATTTTATTGTTAATTTTACCGTAATCATTATCAAAGCACTTTCATAAAAACTACCGAGGATTTTGATGTTATTATAGAGTAAGAAGTTTTTGACATACTTTTGTTCTCCGTGTAAGACAAAATGTTTCAATCATTTACAAGAAACGTAAGAATTAAAATTAAGACACCTAGACTTTCAACCATTCTCCTGACAAAACTATTGAGATCACTTAAAATAATTTTTAATATATAACATTTATCTAAACTTTTCCTTTTACTTAAAAAGTTTGCTGCTTTTCGAAACATGATTTAGAATACAAAGTATGGTTTAATTCTTCCTAATTTTTATACATTAAATAAACACAGATTGAAATGAAAAAAATAATAATTTTCAGTTTCAAGTATGTCAGTAACTATATAGCTGATTTAAATTTTTTTTAAATATGCCGAAATAACGTGTCTAAAGTGCATGATAATACTAAAAGTTATAAATACTGCTAAAACTATAATGTATATCTATTTAGAAACAGCTGAAAATTATTTTTAACTACTAAAACAATGAGATTTTATTTATTTCATTGCCCTATTATAATTAAACTTTCATTTCTAACAAAAAAAGTACAATTAAAATCAGAATCAAATAAAATTTTCAATTCCAAGTAAAATATTGTTGTAATATATCATAGATTTACATAAAAAAATAACATGGGTTTCAAAATTTCATTCCATTCTATTCAATAAGTTTTCTTAAACTTAGACCATTAGCATTATAGATAAGTTGTAGTAATAATAGATAAAGCTGCGTTTTTTTCCATGTGTGAAAAAATAAAAAAATTCAATTATACTTTATATTGTAAAATATATAAAATATATGTGGTAAAACAATCATTTAAAAAAAGGGTAACTTTGAAGGTATGCAGATCTTATTCAGATTTATTATGCAGATTATCTATATGAAGATTATCTATATGCAGATTATCTATATGAAATAAACTTTTTAATGCACAGTTCTTTGAAGGTAATAAGCACAAAATGTTTTCAATGTATATATAATAAATGTATACTCCAACTACATGTTATTACAGTTTACCATCAGGCAATAATACGAAAATTGTGAAACACCTTTGAGTTCAAAAATCAATAAATTATTTCGAAAGCTTCCTTTGTGAAAAAATGCTTATACTTTATTTAAAAGTTCAAAGACTTTGAACAAAAATTGTATTCACTAAAGTAAGTCCAAAAGCAGGTAAAATAGATCTGCAAGCATCATCTCATCCAATTTTTCCTATTAAAAATTAAAGCAACTTGATGTGGTCAGGGGAGTCCCCGAGGAAGTTAAAGTTTGACAATTTCGTCACTAACAGCATGATTAGGGCAATGTGATTAAGATTGCGTACGATATTCTTTTACTTCCAAGACAAGCTGGTACTCATTGATCTGAAGCTGGGTGGGCTGCCATCTCTGAGAATCGAACCCCATCTATATGAGAATCAACCTCATCTATCATGTTGATAGCTCAGTGGCTGTGACAGATAGTCTCCTTTGTGAAAAAATATTTATACTGTATTTAAAAGTTCAAACGTTTTAAACAAAGTTGCAGTCACTATAGTAATAAGTCCAAAAGTGGGTAAAATAGATCTGCAAGCATTATCTCACCCAGTTTTGCTCATTAAAAACTAAAGCAACTGCTTACTGTGGGTCAGGGAGGTCCCCAAAGAAGTTCAAGTTTGTCAATTTCATCACTAACAACATGATTAGAGCAATGGTGTTAAAATTGAGTACAATACTATTTTATTTCCAAGATAAGTTGGTACTCATTGATCTGAAGCTGGGTGGGCTTCAAGCCGACTCTGAGAATCGAACCCCAGTCCGTCATGAAGATAGCTCAGTGGCTGTACCCGATAGGCCATAGCGGCTCAGTTTTACTTGGTGGGACTTTTTTTGTTTAGCATCATCATTGAAACAAACAAAATGCTTGGTTACACCAATGACAATAAAGAAAATGCGTTCACAAATTCAATTACTTGACAGTGATGTTTTCTATCAATTGATTGAGTAATCTCTATGTAGTTATGATGATCATTATTTCATATGATCATATTAAAAACATTTTCAAAGAGGTTATATTAAAATATCATTTCATATTATCACATTAAGAGATATAATTCATTTGGAATAGTGTAATACATCAGAACTATTGTCAATTTCCCCAATAAATATTACCTAGGAGTTCATCTCTTTGAGCGTACAGTTTTTGAACCAATTCGCCATCGATTGCAAGAGCTGATAACTCTTCTTTCAGAAGATCTCTTTGCTTGCAAGAAGTTGCTAATTGTCTTTCGTTAACTTCCTAAAATGAAGGATGTTATTATTAGCATAATCTCCAAAGAACACCAAATATATATCTCAAATTTATGAAGCAAAGTATAGGTGGTTGAGAAAAATTAATGAAAATAGTTTATTTTACCACAGTTCATGTTAAAAGGATCATTTTCTGCAAACTTTTTTCAAAAGATACTGAATCGACTCTCAATTTCTTCTTGTTATGGTTCACATTTTAACAGGATTTAGGATTGCTTCCTCGCTTGAAATTTGAAAAATTTTATTTCGCTAACTAAAATTCTAAAGTAAGGAATATTCTTTTTTTGTGAAAAAAAATATTTTTAAAAGCAAATAAAAAAACACCCCTGAAAAAATCATGCTACAATATCTTTCCTTTTTAACGGCAGGCACTTAACTTATCGTCCTTCGCTATAGAAGGTGCCGGAAGTGTTGCTCATTTTGCATTGCCTGGTGAGCATCATGTGACCAGAGTCACGGAGGCGAGTAATATTACCCACGCAACACTGCTACAGATACCCATTTATAGGGTGGGTCAGATTCACATATCACACACAACAGAGGACAACAAACAGAGAGAAACACCCATGCCCTGAGCGGGATTCGAACCCACAGCCATTGGCTTTGCAGTCAGGCACGCTAACCACTCAGCCACCTGGCCGGCAGGTGTTAAAATATGCAATATAGGAAATAAATAAGACAATTGTTTTAAAAATTCGCTGTAGTATGGTCTGAAAGGACCAATCAAAATAAACTATTTCAACCTAGACTGGAATAAACTAAACAACACGCCTTATTCTCTGGGTATGTTTCAGTAAAATTCTTCTATTCAAACAGGCTAACGTACGAGCATTCTTTGTTCTATTATGACGTCCACAACCGGGAGAAATTTAAGCGATAGAAAAATATTGAAAGGAAAAAACCTTTTTCTTACTCCATTCTACCTAAAACTAGTTTTTTTTAAATTGAAAGGAATTTATTTAGATGTTAAAACTGGCCATCATAATCCATAAAATTAAGTTGAAATTAAAACCTTTAAAATTTCAAACCGTAAGAAACATTTGCCACTTCTTAATTAATTTTCACGGTTGTGGTTGGCATGGTAATATACCACACTGCTGTTGATGAAGAGATTTTAATTTTTCTCAATTGCTATCTGTATTGTTATCCGATTTTTTCTTACACAAAGAGAAAATTGGACTGTCAAAGCAAAATGTAGCTAGAAACTGGGACAAGCTAAATCTCTGCCAACATAAGTGGGGTATATTAGGTAACATGTTACTTTTAGATCGATTTATTTTTGTCTACAATTGATATATATTTAATGGTAAAAAAACATAAAACTCATTAATTCTACCAAGAAGTCTAACCAAAACAATATATGGTTAAACTTATATTAGGCATTTCATGGACATTAGAGTTATGTTGTGGTCGAGTTGTGTCTTGTCGTTGGACTGTGGCTTAATTAGTTTAGTGTCATCTCTTAGTAGTATCATCTACCGTGAGAGATGGGAAATTCTGGAGTTTTAAGTGTTAGACAGCTCTGTGGGGTTGCCATCTATAAGAGTTGATAGGAAAGAAAGTTTCGTATTCCAATAATCCAGGGTCTCCAATTAAGGGCACTGGAAATTCTTCAATTTTTGAGCTAATAGATGAAATATAGTGGTATCAACGCTGGGATTGGAACCAACGTTCAGCAAGTAATGAGATTGATTTGAAGGAACCAAATGGCTTCATAAAGTGTTCACCACATCTTACTATAAGATTATTATGAATATGCTTTCCAGCATATTCATTATTAATGGCTTAGCTTCTAGTTTTCGAAAAAAGCGTGCTCGATTCTCATTGGCTATGGCCTAGTTGGACTGGATAAAACTCTGGTTATTTAACCGTATTAGGTGAAAACAGTCAATAAACCATTTTTCTCGCAGTTAACAGCTTGAATACTATCTTTTGTAATAGTTCTTTGACTGTTTTGAATATTGAATATAATTATATAACAATGAAATAAAGAATATAATTATATAACAATGAAATAAGGAATATAATTATATAACAATGAAATAAAGAATATAATTATAAAACAATGAAATAAAGAATATAATTATATAACAATGAAATAAAGAATATAATTATATAAGAAGAGAAAAATTGTTGTTTAACCAGTTTTTGCAAGTAATTTCTAACAGAGTACTATAGGTTTTTAAATCATTAAAACAATATCGAGTGGAAATTTTTAAAAAAGAATCGATCTTAAACCAGATTAAAATATAAACTATCAAAATTCACAAATGATTTATGCATAAACTTAAGGAAATAGATTGAGTGCAGTGCAAGTTTTGCATTTAGATCATGACCTACATTATTTAGAAAGTCATATTCAAACCATTACTGGTTTTTTTTTATATATAGGAAAGAAAAACATTGTATCACATGTATTCTTTGAAAGTGATGAAGAATCATGAGGTTGCGATAAATGTTTTAGGGTTTAATGCAGTGGGATTACCTGAAAGTAAACAATGTTCCAATCGATTCTTTCCGAAATGTTTTCTTATTGAATAATTCAGGTGCTTGGGGAAATAAAACACGTCTGTTCTTGAAAGAAAAAAAAAGAAATGTGCAAAAAACTAAAAAAATTTCAATTCAATCTCAAACTGAAAAAAAAACGAAAGAAAGTTTGATTCCATCCACCTTTTTATCAGAAAATAGTAAAAAAAATAAAGGGGGTCTAGGTCATTATTTTAAAATTCCTTCAAAATACATAGATTATTTTGAGTTTTCTGCAGTTTATATTATTCCTTAAGTATACGAAAATAAAACATAAATATTCAATGAGGAATTTTGAAAAATTTTTACACTTTAAAAAATTGATGCTTCCTATTTTAGATGAACTGAAAAATTATATTAGCATTAAAAGTAATTGGGAAAAAATATTTTTGATCCGTACTTTAATTTATTTTCAGTATTGTCTGCTATAGCCTTAAAATATTAAAAATATGCAAAATAAAGACAGCAAATGTTTCCCCAATATTTTTTAAAAATCTTATAAAGCATATTTTTAAGGTCCTGTTATTCTTTAAATTCATTGGATGAAATATGTATATATGTTCCAAATATCATTCAACTCCTATTATTATTTCACAATGATGTGAAAAGAGCCTCTACAAAATGAAGTAGAAGTGCATATACTTTTGAACAAAGTAGGTATTTTCTTCTGTTACCTATCACTTTAAATTTATAGAGAATTTATGCTTTGATATTTGACCCAAATATAAATATTCTTATTAATTAAAATATTGATGTAGACGTAACTCGCTTGTCTTTGCTGAACGAATGCTCATAATGAAACTTTTGTGCTATTACTTTTTACTGTTCAATAAAAAAAATACCGTCATTTTTAAAAAAAGGTTACACCGAAATGGGTTTAAATTGATGTAAGAGATGACAAAAAAGTGAGTTTTATGTCACTTTCTATTCGTGAAAGTTCTTCAAAAGGGATTTTTTTTAAATCAAATAAAGTTTTTGTCTTTTCCTTAATTTGCATTATGAATACTTTTATTATCTTAATTTTTGACGAGGTCCTAAATTATTGATAATAAAGGTGGTAATTACAGAACATCTTTTTTATCCTGCGATGTTCTCAGCAGAAAATGCTCATTTCGCTTAGAAGCATGCTTATTTGATTAAAATTAACCTGTCAAAATAAAATAAAATTAAACATGATAACATATTAACATTTAAATGTATTAATTAAGAGTTTTTATTAAAAATTTGATAAACTTCCATTCTTGACTAGGAAAATGCTTTGCTTCATCCATTAGAATAAGCAGTGAAACATACGAGCACATAATATATGGTTGAAAAATATGAGAATTGACATTTAACATGCTTATCTTATTAAAGTTAACCTGTCAAAACAAAATTAAACTAAACATGCTAACATATTAACAGTTAAAGATGCTAATTAAAAATAGCTTTTGCGAATTTGATAAACGATTCTTGACTAATGAAATGCTTTGCAATATCTATTGGAATAAGCAATGGGACATACGAGCACAAAAGAGATAGTTGAAAAATGTGAGAATCGCCATTTAACATTCTTAACTGATTAAAATTAACCTGTCAAAACAAAGTAAAAATAATATGTTAACATTTTAATATTCAAACATACTAATTAAAAATAATTTTTAAAAATTTGTTGGAGTAAGCAATGGAACATACGAAAGCATAAAAAAATTGTTGAGAAATGTGAGAATTGACATTTAACATGCTTATCTGATTAAAGTTAATCTGTTAAAACAAAATAAAACTAAACATGTTAGCATATTAATATTAAAACATGTTACTTAAAAAAATTATTAAAAATTTGATTAACTTTGATTCTTGACTAGTGCTTTGTAATATCTATTGGAATAAGCAACTGAACATACAAGCTCTCGTTTAAAAAATGCAACTGAGAAGGCTTCTCCCGAACACATTCTGGACTGTTTGAGACTTTAAAGAGAGGACATATACTTATACCCCCTTCTGGTCCTCGATTTCCTTAGGGTCAACGGTCTAATGGACCCTGTCTAACTTCGTCAAACATTTGGAGGATAAGCCAAAAAACAACAACAACAGCATACGAGCACATAAAAGATTTTTGAGAATTGTGAGAATTAACATTTAACGTGCTTATCTGATTAAGTTACCATGTCAAAGCAAAAAAAATTAAAAATGTTAACATATTAACATTTTGAACAAAACATTATAGAGAAATGTGGAAATTAACATTTAAATGTTAATAACAATTAATCATTAATTGGTGAATGATTAGTATATAAAATCAATTATGTAATATTTTTTATATAATAACAGTTATATAATAGCTGTTGTATAATAACAATTATATGATAATTGCTATATAATAATTTCAATACAGTAATTTTTATATAATAAAAATTAGATAATAGTATACTACTAGATATATAAGTAGATTTATATATTTTAGTCCATATATATTATTAGATTTGTATATATTAGTAGATATTTAATAAACATTTTAAGAAAAAAACACTACAACTTGTACACTACTACGTCTTCACAAATCGAGAACTATTATTTATTTTGATGTAACTAGTAAAGAACTTAACATAGTTAGTTGAGAGAGAGAGAAAGCGGCTGAAATAAAATCAACTAATGGAACAAAATTTAATTTGCGTCCCCTTACGAACAACTACTTAAGTTATTTTGTCTTTATTTAAATTTAGTTTCATATTGTATAATTCAATTATTTTGCTCTGAATTAAATTAAAAGAAAAGGCTTTTCAAGTCTTTACTGAAAACAAGAGTTAAAATTTTGTACTTTAAATAAAATAATCCAACTTTTCTATTTACTTCATCGAAATGTTATCAAAAACATTATGTTGATTACGGGAGATGTTTTATTTAGTAATAGAGAATATAAAGATAAACTTTAAAAGTTTTTAAAATTAAATATCAACTTTATAAATAATATGAATTTGAAATAAATATGAGGAATTATTGTAGCTATGCGACTATAAATAACTTGCATGAAAGCAATAAATATTGAAGCCCAGTTTGTAACTTAATACAACCTTTAATTAAAATTTCAAATGAAATCAATTTATTTCATCAGAACTGTTTAAGCATTTGAGACGTCTTCTTCGAATTCTCTTTCGCATAATTCAAAGAATTGTCTTTCTTTTTTTTAGTTCAAAAGATATTAAACTAGTTTTCTCCGTAAACAATAAATAAATTCGTGCTTAAAGAATGAGAAAAACGCACAATTTAAATAGAAATGAAAGAGAAGATTTTTTGGAATTTGATATATCTTGTTTCCTTTACTCTTATTTGCAATTTGGATAACGCCATCTGAGAACTTCTTCTAAATTGAATTTGAAAACTTTCTTTTATTAAATAAGTAAATGAAATTAATATATTTTACATGATGAACATAATATTTGGTTTCACAGATGAATTTTAAAAGCATTATTCTGTCTTGTTTTCTTCCTTTTTTTTCTTCAAAATATAATACTTATGCAACAAAATTAACTTTAAAAAAACTGCATACTGTTAGATATTCAGTGTTTATTGAAATCGCTTTCTTTTACATTTGAGCAAACTTAATAAGAAAAATTTAATTTGAAGGAGTTTTTAAACAATTCTCCTTAGAAAAAGACATAAAAATTAAATTTTTTACATTACTTTAAGAGTTAATTTTTTTTTTATTTGATACTACTTCGAAGTTTACTGACAGTATTTACTTCGGTTTTTCTGCACCCTTTCGCCACACTGTGGTCATTCAATCACTTGAATGAATTACTTGGTCATTTGAATGACAACACTGCGGTCATTCAAGTTCTATGATAAGCTTAATTTCATTAATTTAAATATTTGCTAATAAAATGAATTTTGTTTCTATGTTTAGGGGTTAATTTGTCAAGGTAACTGACTATAAATTGTATTTTGATATCTTCTATTTTGTTGTTAAAGATTAAATTTTTTTTCATGGAGAAAAAAATTTATGGAAAAATCTCCTACATGATGATAATATTTCAGGTAAGAAAAAAAGAAGCATAATTCTAGTATTAGAAACCAAATTATACTTCTAAAAAAACTATTTATTTCATTTATAAAAAAACTATTCATTTAGTAATTTTCCCGTTCATATGGTAACAGTTCACTGGAAATTTTGGTTTTTAAAATTATAGTTTTTATTACCCCATTTAGTAGTGAATATAAAACTGAAAAGTAAGCTTAAATGAATAAATGGATTTTATGCCATGCTTTAACCATTACCAAAGCGCTTCAGCAAAACTTACTATCCTTTTCCCATGAAGGCAGAAACAAGACAAATTTTACCATATTCTGGTAGTTTTGACCCTACCTTATTTTTCAGTGGAATTATTCTCTTTATAAGGGTTTCTAATCTGATTTTTGTCTTGAGAAACTAGAGCTGATTCCAGGAATGGAAAAAATATAAACATCCATTGATTACGTCATACTTGGCTTTAATGAGAAACTTGTGAAGAATCATGTTTTCGCTTAACTTGCATATAAATTAACTTGCCCAATAAGAAAGCATTCTCCTTAAACCAGGCTCAATATAGAAATGTCAAACAACAGTAAGGGAGAAACTAAAGGCTAAAAGTAAAGCAAAAGTTGTTGCCAAAATGCACAGTAAAACGCCTCTTTTCCGCCTATATTACTGTTAGAATTTTCATTCCAAAATTACGGTAAAATGACCGACAACAGTCTGTTCTTATGATTAACCATAAAATTGATGGTTGGGAACACATTTTTAACTTTATGGTTTTGAAATCATTTACAATTGGTATGGTTTAAAAACCATGGATATAAAACTATACGGTTTTGTAACCATATACAACTAGCATAGTTTCTGAAACATAAAAATGAAACTTAAACTAACACTAGAGCTCCGTGGGTACTGTTTCATTTATGCATGAATAATTTCGTATTCTAAGAGTCCAAAGACACCGATTGATGAGTGCAGAACAATGGAAACTTTTCATGCAATGAAGGACTGAAAGAATATTGTAGTATCAACACTGAAATTTGAACCCATGTTCATCCAGCCATGTGATTGGCCGATTAACCCTCTCAGCGACAGTATGTACCCAGCTGCAAGGAACATAACGGATTTATAAAATGGGCCCAGGTGGCGCGGATAGAGTTCTGGTGGTTTAACCGTATTAGAAAAAAAATCAATCTAAGTTTTTTCCTCACACTTAACAGTTTGTATGTCAGCTTTTTTATGGTTATTTCCCTGTTTTGGTTGAAAATGGTAAAATAACAATTCAAAAAATTGCTAACCATTTTTGCAGTTCTAATTGTCTAACAGTGATGTGATGTTTCTTTTTATTATTTCAAGAAGTTATTTAACAATGAACACTTATTTCAATACTTCTTCATCTGATAATTAAAGTTTACCCGCTTAAGACGAAAAATTCCCTATGTGGTCCAATGGAGATCTAAAGGAAATATATTAGAATTTATATTCCTCGAAATTGTTACTTTGTTTAACTTTTTACAATTGAAATTGAACTAAGCTATTCTAAATTTAAAAGTATCATAATCATATTTAGTTCCAAAAAATAAACTACAATAAAGGTGAAATATTTAGGTGCTTATTCCAGTGAGAAAACAAAGGTTTTAAAAAAAGTACGTAAAATGCATTGTTTGATGCTGATGGCATTGTGCCATAAATTCCAAGCTCTAATTATGTGAGTATAAACTTAGGAAATTAATTTTCAAAAAAAGAGCAAAAATAAGACATAATTAAGGAAGTTAGTAACTTTATGCCGTTAAGGGAAACCTTAAATGCAGTGATGTTCTTTTCATAGCAAAAATGCAATTCCACCTAAATTCTTGAATTCAGTGATCTAAATTAAGGAAATATAGGTACCTGACGATTGAGAAGATCCACATATTCTTCTTCATCTTCGTTTAAGGTTTTACCATTTTGACTTTTCTCAAATAGAAATTTTTTTAATGATTGTGTTCCATTTGTAGTGTCAATAGCTGCTTGTAACTGATGCCTGTAATAAAATACAATTGAAACTATTAAGTCATTGAACAATCAAAAACATTTTTTTTCAGTGTTTACCAAACATATTATACTCTTCTTAAAAATATTCATAAAATTCTTATAAAGGAATCTACCAGCACAATAAGAAAAAAGTAAGGATAACACTAGCGAAATATGGTAAAGTTTACCATGTTTCTGACTTTAGAGGTGAAACCAAAAGGCTCAGTAATTATTACCAAAAACTTTAGTTAAGATTTTGGTAAAATTAACAATAAAATATGGTTTTATGATCTGTGACACAATTTAGCTAGCTTACAGAATTTAAAGTAAATTAATATAAAGCATTAGGTGCACTGAAAAAAGCATGATTAAAACTACCAGAATATGGTAAAATTTATCATGTTTCTGGTTCTATTAAAAACACTGAAAAACTCGATAATATTTACCGAAACGATTTGGTAATGATTTTGTTAAAGTAACAATAAAATATGGTTTGATTACCTGTGATAAAATTTGGTAAAATTATCATGACACTTTAAAGCATCGCATAAGACCATTTATTCGGTTAAATTTTCATTTCAGTTTTTGTTCACCAAATGTGTAGTAAAATGAACTATAATTTTGAAAACCAGGATTTCCTGTAAGCCATTACCCTACAAATGGAAGTTACCAAATGAATAGTTTAAATACCGTATATTTTGGTTTTATTAACCAGAATTATGTTGTTTTTTATACTAGAAATATCATTACCATACAGCTCGATAATTTTGCCAGAATTTCTTTTCTCCGTGTAATAAAATATAACAATAAAAAGCGAAACAAATTAATAAAAACATAATTAAGCATACAAACCATTGTTATTTCGAATTTATGTGAGCATTAATGTAACTCCTTTAGATATAGATTATACAAATCTTCTTAACTTTTCTTGTCACTCTATCATTTTTATTTTATTTTATTATTTTCATTTCAATTATGTTAATAATCTTAAAAACATTTGAAATAGACAAAAAGACGTGAAGCTATGTATTAAAATATGAGTGCATAGAGATGCAATAGATATATATTAATTGTACCAAGATGAATTGTATTAGTTGTCGCAGGTGAAAAAATTCGTTTTTTTGTTTTCTGTTGCATGAGATTTTTTTACAGATCTTAGACTCTTTAGGATCACTGATTTAAAATCTGCAATCGGTTTTTCTCAACATGCTCCATCTTTTATTTAAGTTACATTGTATGGCAAAATGTTCTTGTCTGTTTTGTTAGGTCATTAAGCAATGGGGTGCGATTGCTCTTGTTTTCCAGTGGCTCCAAGAATATGACTTCATAATAAGAATATGATGCGTCACAAGCCGCTTATAATGCGGGCACAATCATGCATCTATTCATCCACAGATCATAATTTTGACCAGAGAACGACCAATCTCCAATCCAGTACCCTCAGAGCTTCAATTTGTTATGGGAACATGGAGGACTTTGTGACCTGGCAGGTTTTAACGCGCACCAGTCACCATTTACTACACGGGAGGTCTTCGACCGGCTGTATTTGAACACCTGTTCTTACGAACATGAGTCCAGCGCCCTACCAACCAGGCTATCCCGGCCAAATGCTCTTGCTTATGAACGTTGTATATAACATTGGATCGCAAAAATGTTGCAGGGAGGAAATCTAGGGGAATTAGGGCACATCATCAGGATCAAAATTGCATACTCTTTAAAAAATTCCTGATCAAATTACAGTAAAAAGTACCGACCACCGGTATTTTTTACTGTAAAATCCATTTTACCTGAACATGCTAAGGAACAAAAAATCTGATATTCTGTAATTTTTACAGCTTATTGTATTCGTGATTAGTTAACACAGAATCTACTCAATGTTTCCTATTTTTATCTTCTTTTTTTTACAATACTATTTTTTGTGTATTCAATTTTTTTCTTATAACGTGTATAAAAAAATTTTCAAACGTGCATTTAGTCGGTACCTTCAAAAATATAGAAAAAAAATATTTTACGATGCTTCGAATAAATGCATATTTGAGAAGATTGTCCTAAAAGTAAAAGTAAATAAAAGTATATTTAATAAAATAATTCCCATCCGGAATGAAATAAAATTCAATAATGTTTAACTAATTAATATGAAACGATAATTAATGAAATAGGTAACGAAATAATTTTATTGAAATAAACGAAGTACTACTTAATGAAATAATATGAAATAATATTTAATGAAATAATTTCTAAATAATAAAATATAACGAATGACATAAGATACTGTTTAACTAATTTATATGAAAAGATTATTAATGAAATAAATAATGAAATATTATTTTTTGAAATAAAGTAAATACTACAATGACATTTATGGAGATAATTTATAATCAAAATAAAATGTAATGAAGTAACATTAAATTATATTTATTTAATTAATATGCAATGATAATTATTTAGCTGGAATTATCTAGCTAATTATTAAGCTCATTGCATTGCATTGTATAATGAAATGTTTTTTATGGAGGAAATACTATTTAAAGAAATAATATGAAATAATATTTAAATAACTAATAGAAAATGATGATTAGTGAAATCAATTTTATTGAAAAAAATTTTACTGAAATAATGGAAATACTACTTAATAAAATAATATGAATTTATATTAAAATAAATAATTTCTATCCAGAATATTATGTGTATAAATAACGTTGAATCAGGTTTAAATAATTAATATGCAATAATGATTTAAGAGCTAGATAATGTAGTAATTTTTATTGTAAAAAACGATATACTACAGACAAAATAACCTGAAAAAATATGTAATGAAATATTTTTAGCCTGGGATAAAATATACTTAAGTAACATGAAATAATATTTAATTAACTAATAGGAAATAATAATTAATAAAATAGGTACGGACATAATTTTTATTGAAATAAAGAAAATAACATTTAATAAAATAGTTTCTAACCACAATAAAATGTACTGAAAAAACATTAAATCACATTTAATTAATAATAAATAATGATAATTAATGAACTAGATAATAAAGTAATTTTTATTGAAATAAACGAAATTCTACTTAACGAAATATTAAGAAATAATGTGTAATGAAATATTTCCTACCCTGAATAAAACATAATTAAATATCATGATATAATATTTAATTTAATAATAGGAAATGATAATTAATGAAATATATAATCAAATATTTTTTATTGAAATAAATAAAACAATGTGAAATAATATTTAATAAAATAGTTTCTAATCTCAATAAAATGCACTGAAATAGTATTAAATCATGTTTAATTAATTAATATGGTGATGAAGAATTTTATTGAAATAAACGAAATACTACTTAATGAAATAATATTTTATGAAATATTTCCTACCCAGAATGAAACATAATTAAATATCATGAAATAATATTTAATTTACTAATAGGAAATGATAATTAATGAAATAGATAATCAAATAACTTTTATTGAAATAAAGTAAATACTACTTAATGAAACAATATGAAACAATATTTAATGAAATAATTCCTAGTCGGAATTAAAATGCAAAATAATAATTCTTAACCGGAGGCATCTCGAACAATATAAAAATTAACTGGCAAAATCTTCATCGGTATTCTATATTCCTAAATGCTAGATGGATTTAAATGTTATCAGATTAATTAAAATGAAGAAAAAAGATTATTCGTTGCATTATTCTTATTTTCCGTTAATTAAAAAGTCAAACATGTTAAAATTATCTTTAATTACTTTAATTAAATGTATTTTTTCACTCAGATCAAACACCAAATAAAAAATAGAATACATACAAAAAAAATAATGCGTGAAAAAGTTTAATTGAAAAACAAGCCCTTAAGAGAAGATTAAAAAAAAAACTTCTATCGATTTCTTTAATTTTATTTATGGATATACATCCCTATTCTTTGCATCGACTTTCACTTGCTTTAGGGCATTCTAACAGTCTGTTTTGAAAGAACTTTCCAAATTTCCATTTCATTTTTGAATTAATTATTTGACTTTCAAATGCCACGTCGGAAGTATTTGTAGCTTGAGGGTTCTTTTAAAATTTGCTCATTATCTTTGAGTTCACTTAATAGACAGATGTGAGCTTCAAATTAAATTCCAGACAAGTCATTCAATTACTCTTGATAATGATTGAATTTAATGTATTGAATTATAGAAGTTTTAGAACTAATTAAATGGATTTTATCAAAGGGAAATTTGAACAACGTTTGATTTTCAGCTTTGAAGTGGATAATGTGATTTACTCATTCTGAAGCGTTTTAATTAAAGTAGGTACTGTGAAGTCTTTCAATTTAAAGATTATTCAGCAATATGCAATTTATTGCGCTCATCAAATTTAGTTACATAAATATTATTGAGCACATTATGAACTTATTGTATAGTTTCGCCTTCAACTTAGATTTGATTAGAGAAAAATAGAAATAATTGCAAATCTTATCATTTGATGGAAATGATATATAATATCAAAGTTAAACTTCAAGTCAATGACTTTTTTTTCCTTTCTGTTGGGTTTGAAATTAGAAGAATCTTGATGTTGACACAGTTTAAAATATTGAATTATAACAGTTTTAGTGGAAATTGAAAATAATTTTATCTAAGGAAAGTTTAAACAGCGTTTGATTTTCCACTTTGAGGTGGATAATATGATTTAATCCGTCTGAGGCTTTTTTATTAAAATAGGTACTATAAAGTTTTTTTATTTAAAGATTATTTATCAATATGTAATTTATTGTGCTCATGAAATTTAGTTACATAAATATTACTGAGCACATTATGAACTTATTTTATAGTTTCTCCTTCAACTTAGATTTGATTAGAGACAAATAGAAATAATTGCAAATCTTATCATTTAATGGAAATAACATTAAATATCAAAGCTAAACTTCAAGGCGGTGTTTTTTTTTCTATTCAGTTGGGTTTGAAATTAGAAGGATCTTGATATTAATTAAGTATAAAATATTGAATTATAACAGTTTCAGCGGAAATTAAAAAGAATTTTATCTAAGGAAAGTTTAAACAACTTTTGATTTTCCGCTTTGAGGTGGATAATATGATTTAATTCACCTGAAGCTTTTTTTATTAAAATAGATACTGTAAAGTTTTTTCTATTTAAAGATTATATATCAATATACAATTTATTGTGCTCATGAAATTCCGTTTCATAAATATTGTTAAGCACATCATGAACTTATTTCAGAGTATCTCCTTTAACTTAGATTTGACTAGAGAAAAATAGAAATAATTACAAATCTTGTCATTTAATGGAAATAACATTAAATATCAAAGTTAAACTTCAATGCGATGATTACTTTTCTATTCAGTTGAATTTGAAAATAGAAGAATCTTGATATTAATTAAGTATAAAATATTGAATTATAACAGTTTCAGCGGAAATTAAAAGGAATTTTATCTAAGGAAAGTTTAAACAACTTTTGATTTTCCGCTTTGAGGTGGATAATATGATTTAATTCACCTGAAGCTTTTTTTATTAAAATAGATACTGTAAAGTTTTTCTATTTAAAGATTATTTATCAATATGCAATTTATTGTGCTCATGAAATTCCATTTCATAAATATTATTGAGCACATCATGAACTTATTTCAGAGTATCTCCTTTAGCTTAGATTTGACTAGAGAAAAATAGAAATAATTACAAATCTTGTCATTTAATGGAAATAACATTAAATATCAAAGTTAAACTTCAAGGCGATGGTTACTTTTCTATTCAGTTGAAATAGAAAATATAAGAATCTTGATATTAATTAAGTATAAAATATTGAATTATAACAGTTTCAGTGGAAATTAAAAAAGAATTTTATCTAAGGAAAGTTTAAACAACTTTTGATTTTCCGCTTTGAGGTGGATAATATGATTTAATTCACCTGAAGCTTTTTTTATTACAATAGATACTGTAAAGTTTTCTATTTAAAGATTATTTATCAATATGCAATTTATTGTGCTCATGTAATTTAGACAAATAAATGTTATTGAGCACATCATGAGCTTATTTTATAGTTTCTCCTTCAACTTAGATTTGACTAGAGAATAATAGAAATAATTGCAAATCTTATCATTTGATGGAAATAACATATAACATCAAAGCTGAACTTCAAGTCGATGGCTTTTTTTCCTATTCAGTTGGGTTTGAAATTATAAGGATCTTGTTATTGATTCAGTTTAAAATATTGAATTATAAAGAATTTTATCCATGGAATTTTTAAACAACGCTTGATTTTCAGCATTGAAGAGGTTAATGTTATTTACTCCTTCTGAAGCCTTTTAAATAAAATAGGTGCTTCAAAATCTCTCGAATTAAGGATTATTTAGCAATATGCAACTTATTGTGCTCATTAAATTTAGTTTGTTAAATCTTATCGAGAACATCTTGAACATCTCTTATAATTACTCATACAAAAAACTTAGAGATTGCTATTTGAGATTCGTAGAAATAGATACAATTCATTTAAAGTCTCTTTATCTGATGCTCTCAGCTTGCAGCGAACACAATGGTGAAGTAAAGTATTGCTAATGGTAGACGGATTATGGGTTAGAATCCCTTTGCAGCTGGACTAACCATTAATTGTTTTCGTGGTTTTCGTCTACATGTAACGCCAATGTTAGTGAGTTTTCTCAAAAAATAATCCACAAAGGTGAGTTTGCCATCATGCTTCATCCAAGAGTTCACGGAGTGCATCCAACGAAGTTCAGCATTGAAAGTCCCAAACTTAAATTGCGTGAGCTGTTCAACGCCGTCTATAAACTGAAATAAAACATGGGATGTAAATTTTAAAAATCGAGAAATGCTTTTGATACGATTCAATACCCTCTTCTTATAAGGTAATGCTACGAGGAATAAACAAATTAGATTATTTTGCATAGAATTACAGACTATTTTGTCTAGAATTACATCTATACTATCCTCTTTTACTCAGTCATTCTAGATAATATTCTATGATATCTACATGTTATGATAAATGAGTAACAGTTGAAAACATAATTTGCGCTCTAAATGGAGTTCACGTGTCTGCAATCAATTGATCTAAGTTAAACCCTAAAGGGAGAGTATTTTCGAAGAGCGGAACACTGATTTGATTTCATCCTTTTAGCCTTAAATCTTGTTCACTTTAAAATGAATGATCTTTTGGGTTTTTCTTTCACTTTCTTTTTCTTTTTTAAAATTCTTACGGAATAATTCTTCCTACGAAAGAACGAAAAAATAATAGTTTTAGAAGAATTCGTATTTCAGTAAATTACTCTTTCCTGATTGCAATGATTTTTTTGAATTTATTTTTTCGATTACTATTTCAAACGTAAATGAAAAGTTTAAAATATAAGTTTATGCTATTATTTTTGAAGATCCGCGAAGTTAAATCTTCAAAGAGAAATATTCCTTTAAATATTCTTGAATGTCTATAAAAATAAGTTTTCTTCAAACAACAAAAAAATAAAAAATTGCCTCTATACAACTAATTTAAAAAAAAGAAGAAAAAAAAACATACAATATATACATATATACATATATACATACAATATATACTATATACAATATATATATATATATATATATAATTCAAATTTTAGAGTTTTTTTTAAAAATTTTGACANGAAAAAAGAAAAGATCAAAATCTATACACCGAAGTGCCATTACATTATGACCACCCAGCTAATAATATGTAGGAACACCTTTAGCCCTCAAAACTGCTAGCAGCCGCCGTGGCATTGATTCCGCAAGGTGCTGATAGGTAGTCTGAGGTATCTGGTACCTTGAACACTTGGTACCAGATGTTTATTAAGTTTGTTATTAAGTTTTTTCTGTTTATTAAGTTTGTAAGTAATGTTCCTCGAATCAATCCATGACGATTTGACTCTTATGACATGGTGCATTATCCTGTTTTTAAACACCATTCCCCGCAAGAAAAACTGTTGCCATGAATGGGTGAACCTAGTCTACAACTATGTTCAAGTAGCTTACAGACGTCTTGTTCTATGAGGATTATGGGTCCTAATGTGCCCCTTGAAAACATTGTTCCTGGGCGAGAAACCATGAAAACCTGGGCGAGCCCATTGTTAGAGATGGAGGGTGGTCATATTGTAATGACTCTTCGGTGCATATATATATATATGTATATATATATATATTATTTTATATATATATATGAAGCTGTTTATTTACTTACAAACTTTGAGCTTGGATGTTTTTCTGGTCCTCTAGCACTTGTACGTTTTTTTCAAGTTGTTCAAGCTGATTTGTCTTCAATTGATAGTTGTCTAAAATACGACGTTTTTCAAAACGTTGGATTTCTTTTTCTAAATCTAAATACTTTTGTAGAGTTTCAACACTTATTTCAATAGGCTGAAAAAATCAAAACAATGGTTAACTCAACATATTTATACATTTTTTTAAATTGTGTTATTCAAAAAAATAAATAAGTAAATAATTGTTTATTCATAAATTTAAACTCTTCATATTTTTATTCATATTAAAATGAGTTTAAGTTTATTTACAATTGCAAAGCATAGTGGCTGTAAAAATATCTTAATGGTAGAGACAAATGCTGGTTTTCCCATAGAGCCAAAAGCACTATAAATTTTATCATATTCTGGTAGTTTTTACCCTATTTTTTTCTCAGTGTGTTTTCACTATAAAAGAAAATGTCAGCTTACGTCAACAACAAAATATTGTGGCAACTATGCAGCAATTTTTTTTTGCACTTCGCAAACATATTTGTAACAAAATTTTTTTACTAAAATATTAATTTCAGGCTTATATCAAAGAGATAATTTAAGTTAAATTTTAATTTATTCCTTCATGACGAGTTATGCTTTTAAAGCTAAAAGTGTGATAGATTCTTCGCTGTGAATTTTTACGCTATAGATAAAATAACTAAGTAGAACGAATTTATTGCATTCAATAATTCCAATATCAGCTAAGAAATATGTCACTGTCTTCTTCAAGCACAAATATTTTATCAAAGTCTGAAGATTCCAAATCTTATCAAAATCGTCTGCCGAAACTACTGAAGTGGAATTTTTATTAAAAGAAAGAAAAATAAACATAAATAAAGGAAAGAAAAAGAATGTGAAAAGCGGCAAAAGAAAATGCTTTACTTATATCTCCTTTAATGCGGAAGTGTATGATGTGGAAAAAAAATCACGAACTACCATTTCTCGACGATTTGACATAACATCAGAGATTTAGCATTGAAATATTACTTTTATCTTAATACTATTTTCCCTTACAGTTGTTGGCTGCTTTCGCTGAATTTGATTGTCCTAGAAAAATCTTCTTTTTCCAACTGCTGCCAACACAATAAGATAAATTGATGCTGAATATAATTTCTTATATCTCTTCCTACTGTTCCATTATTTTGAAACAAAGGATACTCATTACAAGTAAATGTAGTAACATAACTAAAGAAAAAATATTATTCTGATAGTTTATAAAAAAAACTATAAGATTGATACCTTAAAGCAGTTGCCATCTAACATTAAAATATCGGCGAATGTCTGCAGTCATATTTTCGATTGAAAATACCGACATAATCTTTTGCAAAATAACTATTGCTGTTTTATAATAGTTTATCAATATAAAAAAGCAATTTAAGTGCAATTTTTCTGAAACAATCTTGCAAAATAATCTGTAATAAATGGATGTAGATTTCGAACATAATGTGCATTCCAAATTTCCGTATGTACTGCAATGCTATATTAACAAGCTTTGGAATTTATCGTAGGAAGAAAATTTTTAAAAATTCTCGAAATATTAGAACCACTACGTAATCATAATTTTAGAAACGAAAATCGAAAGAAAGAGTTTTCCATTTTCATTTTTAAACAATACGTGTAAATATTGAAGTAAAGTTTTACATATTTTCAAAAAGCTCAATTTATCTTTAGAAAGGATATTTAGAAAAGAGATGCTAGATTCTAAAAGAGAAACGCTATGAGAAATCGGTTATTCCTAGCGTATATATGAATGCAAGATAATACAATAATGCAAGGAGTAAACATAAGGAATAATTAAGCATAACAAAATATTCACAAATCTCAGACGACAGTTTTTCCATACATACAATATATATA